TATATGTATATAGATGTGTGTGCGTGCGTGTGTATCATGGGCATATGTTGTACTTGTGACTACAGTAATGCTTATAATCATGTGTCATGTGTAGAGTTATCTAGGTATGTTGACTTTCGAACTTGATCTATATCTAATATCTGTGTATATATATATATCACATTTAGCCTTGCAATGATGCATGACACGTTGCATGGCTTGCGTTAAACGAGAAAAACTGACTTCTACCTGGATTCTACCTCTCGCATCATCGAAGCTAAGCAGGAGGTCGGACGTGAGGCCGAGGTGACATGATCTTGCGAAATCCCAAAGGCCGCATGCAAACCTGCACTTCGGATCCCCGTTCCCAGAGCCCCCTCCTCGCCCCCAACTCCCCGCTGCACCTTGTCGGTAAGTAGCGGCCTCCTCTGCTGACAGACCCTGGAGCCTCATTTTGGCTCGAGACCACGGCTCTATGGTATGGCTGCCGGTATGCGGCAAATCTTACTCTGTGTCCTCTTAAGGGTGCTGCTGCTGCGGTTGTTGCTGTTTGGGCGGAACTGGCGGAGCAATATCGCTGCATCGCACTCGAATAAGCATGTCCAGCAGGGCCTGCGAGATCAGTACCTCTATTTTCAATGATGGTATTTGATGATGCTAACCCGGTTCGGGATCCTCACACGCCGAATGAGTTCAATGCCTTTGCAAGCAAACGCCAGGAGAACAGTCACCCGTGCTTCAAACCCAGATCGAGCTGGAATTGTAAACCCCCAAATTACTACTGCTTGGGATTAAAGCTCGATACACCTAAATGCTCAAGTCCTACCTGCAAAGACTGCATGTGTAAACAACAAGCTCAAAGCCGCAAGAATCAAAACACGATACCCGGAAGCCTTACAGCTCCCTCTAAACACTAAACTCCGGTTGCCAAAACCCTCAGACTGAACCCGCAAACCCCTAAACCCTANNCCCTAAGCCCTAAACCCACATAAACCCCCTAAACCACCTCCGGGACCCCCCGCTGCCACTCGAAGACCTGCGAGGCGCTTTCCGCCGTGTAATCGCTGTGTACCTTGGGGGGAGATCGGCCTTTTTTTGGGGCTTAGGGTTGAGGGTTT